CACACACACACACACACACACACACACACACACACACACACACACACACACACACACACACACACACACACACACACACACACACACACACACACACACCACACACACACACACACACACACACACACACACACACACACACACACACACACACACACACACACACACACACACACACACACACACACACAGACAGACTGCAGACACTGCAGACACTGCAGACACTGCAGACACTGCAGACACTGCAGACACACACACACACACAGACACACACAGACACACACACAAACACACGCATACACATACACACACATATATACACACACACACACAGACACACACCCAGAGACACACACACACACACACACACAAGCGCGGGGGAGGGCACTGTCAGGCCCAAACAAACGGTCAAAAGCTTGACCCCACCCACCCACGCACGCAACCACCCACCCACCCACTCACACATTGGCAGGCCCCTGCAGTCTTTAGTTTAGTTTAGTGACTCTAGTCCCTTGCAATCTCAAATTTGGGCTTCCTAGCGCAGTCTCTAGTTTAGAGGGGGTTTTTTCCGTTACAGTCTCAAGTTTGGGCTGCCACGTGCAGTCTGTAGTTTAGAGGGGCTCTTTCTCTTACGGTCTCAAGTTTGGGCCGCCAAGAGCAGTCTCTAGTTTAGAAAGGCTCTTTTTCTTACAGTCTCAAGTTGGGCCTCCAGGCGCAGTCTCTAGTTGAGAGGGGCTCTTCCCCTTACAGTCTCAAGTTTGGGCCTCCAAGCGCAGTTTTAGTTCAGAGGAGTCTCAAGTTTGGGCTTCCAAGTTTAGAATGGCTCTTTCTCTCATGCTGTCAAGTTTGGACCTCCAAGCGTAGTCTCTCGTTGAGAGGGGTTCTTTCTCTTACAGTCTCAAGCTTTTAGCCTCCAAGCGTAGTCTCTAGTTTAGAGGGGGTTTGTTCCTTTACAGTTTCAAGTTTGGGAAGGAGAGAAATAGGAATGAACAAATGAAAAAGTAAGTACGTATATATATATATATATATATATATATACATACACACATACATACATACAAGCATAAGGCTGGTAGAAGCTTCGCTTTGTTTCGTTTAGATAGCCATAACGCTGCGGTTTGCAACCTGCAGCAAGGTTTGCTCGTAACAGTGGCTCCAAAATGCTCCAAGGACTCCAAAAACACAAAGCTCTAAAGCCAAGATGTCCTAGACCCTAAAAGGCCCGAAAACACCCTAAAGCCCCTAAACTACATTCTCTACAAAAAGAGGGGCTCGTGGAACCCCCCGTTCTGTTACCCTAGTGCACGCTGTCCTGGTGCACGCGGTGCCCCCAAAAATCATGCTTTGGGCACGTTTCGTTTGGGTCTTCTTTGCGAAGCACAAGCAAAACCCCAATGCCAAAATGAAACGTCCCCAAAAGAACGACGTTTTGCGGACGTGTCGTCTGAGCACGAACATAAGTTCCCGAAACGAAACGTCCCCAAACAAGTTTTGGGGACGTTTCGTTTGGGGCTCTTTGCGATGGACAAAAAATGCCAAAGCGAAACGCCCCCAAAAGAAGGTTTTGAACAAACGGGCGCAAACCGAAGCGCCCCAAAAAGCATGTTTTCCGGACGTTTCGTTTGGGCTTCTTTGCAAAAGTCCCCAAAGGATACGTCCCCACATGAATGCATTGGCGACAAATCGTTTGCATCCCTTTGCGAAGCACGAACAAAAGGGCCCAAAACGAAACGTCGTCCCCAAAAACACGTGTTGGGGACGTTTCGTTTGGGCCTTGCGTTTCGTTTGGGCCTTTTTGCGAAGCACAAACAAAACCTGAAAACGAAACGTTCCCAAAAGAACGTCTTGGAGACATTTTGTTTGCGTCCCTTTGCGAGCATGAACAAAAGGGCCCAAAACGAAACGTCCCCAAAACATGTTTTGGGGATGTTTCGTTGGGCCTCTTTGCGAAGAACAAGAAATCCCAAAACGAGACGACGTCAAAAGAATGTTCCGGAAACATTTCGCTTGCGTCCCTTTGCGAAGCACGAAAAGGGGCCCAAAACGAAACGTCCCCAAAAACACGTGTTGGGGACGTTTCGCTTGGGCCTTGCGAAGAAAACAAAAAGTCACAAAACGATACGTCTTCAAAGAATGTTCCGGAAGCATTCCGTTTGTGTCCCGTTGCGAAGCACGAACAACAGCGCCCAAACGAAACGTGCCCAAAAACATGTCTTTGGGATGTTTCGTTTGGGCCTCTTGCGAAGCACAAACAAACCTTAAAACGAAACGCACTCGCTCACCCTCACTGACTGCCAAAGAGACGCAAACGATTAGTCTCCAAAGCATTCTTGCGGGGACTTATCGCTTTCGCAAAGAGGCCCAAACGAAATTCCCCAAAACATGTTTTTGGGGACGTTTCGTTTTGGGCCCTTTTGTTCGTGCTTCGCAAAGGGACGCAAACGAATGGGTGGGGCTGGGGGACTGGGGGGCGGGTTGGGGACGCAGATGGGTGGGGGCGCATGTTGGGGACGGTTTTCAGAAGACAAAATAGTCGGGTTACCCGCGGCGTACATCTGCGAGCAGCGCAGAAAAATGGTTTTGTCCATTCGGTGTTGCAAGGTTCTTCTTTTGTATTTGAAGAGCCGGGGTTTCCAGAAGACAAAATTGTTGGGATGCCCGCGGCGCACGCCGCGGGTAAATCTGCGAGCAGCCTAAAAAATGGTCATTTTATGTTGTCCATTGTGGAAATTTGCATGGATTGAGGCATCTTTTCTAATTTTCCAGGATTGCCGAGAAGGAAATAAGGGCCTGAAATCTCAGTCTGTAGCAGCTGTAGCAGTAGCATGCGGCTGTGTGGCAGCAGTGCAGTCAGCGTTGGGCTGGGTGCTTGGTGCGGGGCTGGGGGGCTGGGGCGCAGGTTGGGGACGCAGGGGCTGGGCTTGGGGTGCAGGTTGGGGACGCAGATGGGTGGGGCTGCGGGGCTGGGGCGCAGGTTGGGGACGCAGATGGGTGGGGCTGGGCGCCGGTGGGGGGCGCAGACAGGTTGGGGACGCAGATGGGTGGGGCTGGGGGGCTTGGTGCGCAGGGGGCGCAGGTTGGGGACGCAGATGGTGTGGGGCTGGGGGGCTTGGGGCGCAGGGCGCACGTTGGGGACGCAGATGGGAGGGGCTGGGGGGCTTGGTGTGGGGCTGGGGGGCTTGGGGCGCAGGTTGGGGACGCAGATGGTGTGAGTCTAACACATTGCTTCCCGGTCTCATCCGGAGCCGAGAAAGGCGGGGCTTCTCGGCTCCAGATGGAGGGGTTGGGACAGCCAGCTTTCCCACACAAAACGCAAAACACAAATAACACAGCACAAGCACACACACACACAGGCGCAAGCAAACACACAAGCAAACAAGCAAGCAAACAAGCATGCAAACAAGCAAACAAACATGCACGCGCACGCGCGCACGCACGCGCACACGTGCGCACATGTTGTGACAAACGTGCGAGGTACCCCTAGCACCCCATTTAGTACAAAAAACATGTTTTGTTAACAAGCAATGAAAGGTTTTTGAAAACTGCGTGCGGTACCCCTAGCACCCCATTTCATACAGGAAGGGCCGTGTTTTCGATTCTTTCTTAACATGCGCGAGGTACCCCTAGCAACCCATTTAATACAAAACGTGTGTTTTTTGGAAAGCTGTATTAAATGGCGTGCTAAGTAAGGCTTTCAAAAAGCCTTAGCAACCCATTTAATACAGCTTTTCTGTATTAAATGGGGCGCTAGGGCTTATGGGGTATTCTGAAGGGGGATCCCCGAACCAGCCCTGAATTGCCGAAGCCGGGCTGATGGTGCATTGGCCTTCCACTTCAAGGACAAGGTCGATGAGTGACCAGGTGTATGGCGGTAGAATCCAAGCAAAAACCAAATTTAATGTGATCTTAGGTCTGAGGCTTTTGTCCTTTTGGGGTTCGGGTCGAGCATGACATGCCTTGGGCATGTTTAGTTTTGGCTACGCCTTGTGCAGGTCTGGTTTCCAAGGAGCAAGAGCCCACATCGCCGATCTCAGCCCTTAAAGAAAGCACTAGGAAGCCATGGCGCCGAGCTTGGGCCATCCCAGTCAGGCTAGTCAGGCTGGGAGGTTCACTTGGGTTTCATGGCATCGCGCTCTGGCCTTAGTGTGCTTTGGGACCTGGCGAATTCACACCAGACACACCAGATATGCAGTTTTTTGTACTGTTTTGAGGTGTGCCTTGATCTGACTGCATTGGAAAGACAGTATGCTGGTGCAGGTGAGCCTGCCGGGCGTGCCAGTGCTTGTGCCAGAACTGGCGGAGGCACCGAAAAACACACGTCTAGGGTG